ACTTTGAATGAAGGTAAAAAATAAAAATTAAAACTTATTATTTTAAATTAATCTTTTTTAAAAAAAAGATTTAATTCATTATATATAAATAGCTGCCAAAGAACTAAATCAAATAGGATCATCATCAGGAGGGAAATGTATCCCAATACAAGCAGATCTATCATCAAAATTAGCATGTGATAACTTAGCAAACGGAATTGCTAATATTGAGGATGGTAAACTTGATATTCTAGTCAATAATTCTGCTGTCTTTACACATGCTCCCCTAACAAATATACTTGAAAGTTCGTGGGATGCAGTTTGGAAAGTAAATGTTGTTAGTGTATTCTATTTAACTATAGCGTAGGTTATTATTGATCGTTTATTTATTACTGTTGTTATCTTGAAATTGAAATATAATGCTATTTTCTTTGTCTAATAAATAGATGTTTACCATTACTCCAAAAAGCTAGTAATGCTCCACAACATCCTTCCAAAGTTATTATTATTGGCAGTGCAGCTGGCAAGTTCTATATTCTGTGTGGATAAATGACAATGCACATTATAATTTTAATAAAGTATTGTTCACTTTACATGATAGGCATGGGCGAAGGTAATTTGGAAAGTTTGGTTGCTGCTCAAAAGGATACTGCTTTACCATATAATGTATCTAAATGGGCATTAAACGGTCTTTCAAGAAATTTGGCTGCTTATCTCACGTGAGTATTAGCAGCAATAATAATAATTAAATAATAACATTAATTTCATTGTAAATAAAAATTAAACAAATTTTGATTTTGATTATAGTCCACATGGTGTTAACGTAAACTTAATTGCTCCAGGTTTAGTCCCGACTAAAATGACAGAAACCTATCATCAAAGTTCTGTTTCAAGAAAATATAGAATGGGCAATGAAGTGGATCTAGGTGCTGCTGCTTTATATTTAGCATCTGATGCTGGTAGCTGGATATCAGGTGCTGAACTTAGAATTGATGGTGGTGCTTCTTTACGAGGAAAAAATTTTGACAAAAAATTAGCTCGAGAATCAACAAAATCAAAACTTTAGATTCCATTCATCATCACATAGATATTATAGATTATAGATTTATTTATTTTTATTTATTTGTCTCACGTGAAATTTTGTGCAAATCTTTAAATTGTGTATATACCGTGTTGTGTTTTAATAATAAATAAAATTAAATCCTTTTTGCTTCAGAGAAAAAATGGTAAAACAAACAAAACTAGGGTAAAACTCACTTATATATTTATCTGTATATTTAAATAAGCAAAGTATTACATATATATCTCTTCAACATAACAATATAAATTCTATCAAATTAGCGCGTTTTTTGGAAAAGCACAAGATGGGCATCAAAAAAGAACCCAAAGTTCAAATGAAGAATTATCGGTGGTTAATAAAAGAATAAAAGTTGAGCAAAATCAAGACATGGATGTTGATGACGAAAAGGTAAAAGAGGAAGAGGGAGTGGATAAGGAAAGAAAAGAATCAGAATTAGAAGAGGAAAAGGACAAAGGAAAAATAGATAAAGCAAAAAAAAGAATAGAGAATGAATCAGCAAAAGAAGAAATAAAAGAACCAGAGCCAGAAGCAGAAGAAGAAACAGAAGAGGAAAAGGCAGAAGAGGAAGAAGCAGAAGAGGAAGAAGCAGAAGAGGAAGAAGCAGAAGAGGAAGAGCAAAAAGAAAAAATCGAAACAAAAAAAAGGCTTATTGAATTGTAAGTAACCATATGGTATCATGTGAAAAACTTTTTTCTTCTTATGTCAGTTTGGAATTTTTTACTGCCATTTACAAAGGAGTTGTCAATTAATGAACTATTACAAGAAGGCAATTAAATAATAAATCAATTTTAGGAAAGACTTGGGTGTGAACTGGAAGAAAGGAGATCCGTAAGATATTGTTAAGATTATCAATCACATTGAATTATAATTAATAATATATAGCTTGCTGAATCTTTAACATTATTCTAAAATGAACACATAATATTAGTGTGCCTTATTCTGTATTATGCAAAACTTTTGAAATGGTTGAATCAACTACCAAACGTCTAGAAAAACAAGATTATTTGGTTACTCTCTTTGCGCTTATTATTGAAAATACTCCAGAAAATTTGTTAGACTCATTATATTTGTGTATCAATCGAGTAAGTTATTTATAATGACTCATTACTCGCTAATGGTAAATCTTTTTTTGATTCTTACTATAAATTTTTTATTAAAAAAAAAAAAGGTGGGTCCAGATTATGAAAATGTTGAATTAGGTATTGGTGAATCTTTATTAATTAAAGTAATTGCAGATACTACTGGTAGAAAAACTCAAGCAATCAAAGAAGAGTTGGCAAAATGGGGTGACTTAGGAAAAGTGGCAAAGGTTAATAATAATTGATAATAATAATTAAATTAAATCAGTTGTATATTTAAACTCTTAAATTTAAATTTTATACATTCTCTATGGTTTTAGGATAGTAAAAGTACTCAACCAACATTGTATGCTCCAAAACCATTAACTATTCCATCAGTCTTAAAATCTATGAAAAAGATTGCACATATGAATGGGCAAGATGTAATTATTTATTATTATGGTTATTCTAATTTATTACCAAATTAATATCCATTGCTTTCTGTTTAGTCGCAAGAAAGAAAAGTTCGAGAAATCAGACAATTGCTTGCTTCTTGCCAAGGTGAAGAATCCAAATATTTAATCAGGTCTCTTGAAGGAAAACTTAGGATTGGATTAGCAGCACAAACCATTTTAATTTCACTAGCACAAGCAATTGTTTATAAGGATCCAGGTTAATTAATAAATAATATATTGCTCTGCAATTACATTATTGTTGACATTATTTTCTTTGAATATTAATGTTATCTATTTATTAGGATATGAAAAATTACCTACACCTACCAAAATTCAATTATTAGCAGATGCCCCAATCATTGTTAAAGCTGTTTATAGGTTTATATATATATTATTTTTATAAAATTATCAACATATCAACTTAATTACTTTTAAAAAACTTTTTTTTTGTAAAAAGTGAAATTCCATCTTATGATATTATGGTCCCAATCTTGCTAAAACATGGGATACAAGGACTTGAAGAGCATTGTAAATTGACACCAGGTATATAAATATATAGATTTATACACATGCATATATATATATATATATATATATATATTGAAATTGCAAAATGCCATGTTAGTTTTTATTAAAACTTTTTTATAATAATAAAAAAGGAATTCCACTTAAACCTATGTTGGCATTTCCAACTAAAAGTATAACAGAAGTACTTGATCGTGTTGAAGGACATAAGTTTACTTGTGAATTTAAATATGATGGTGAACGTGCTCAGGTTAGTAATTTAATAATAATAGTAGCAATAATAATTACAATCATTGTCTTTAACTTTTTTACATATATAGATAGATAAAAATCATATTATATTATATCTAATTTAGCATGTTATTTTGATATAATAGATTCATAAATTGGATGATGGTTCTGCAAAAATTTATAGTAGAAATTTGGAAGACAATTCTGTGAAATTTCCTGATATAATTGAGAAATTGTCTAAGGTAATTTCAATTGCTTATATTACTATTATTGTATTAGGTCATTATTATAAAATTTTTTTTAACAATTTTCTTTAATATCTGTTGCAGTTTGTAAAACATGGTATAAAATCTTTTATACTTGATTGTGAAGTTGTTGCATGGGATCTAGAAAAAGATTGTCTTCTTCCTTTTCAAGTGTTAAGTACAAGGAAAAGAAAAGATGTTAAAGGATCAGACATAAAAGTCAAAGTTTGTTTGTTTGCATTTGACCTATTATATCTAAATGGAGAGGTATGACTAATTTTATTATTATCAGATTTATAATAGTAATGATTAGATTCAATTTTTCTCAAATATAAATTCATATTACCATTGTAAACAGTCACTTCTCAAGAAACCATTAATTGAAAGGCGTGAACTATTGTATAATTCTTTTCAAGAAATCAAAGGAGAATTTGCCTTTGCACATGAAATTATTGCAACTAACACTGAGGAAATCCAATCATTTCTTGATGAGAGTGTTAAAAATAATTGTGAAGGTTTGATGATAAAAATTTATGAAGGATCTGAATCATCTTATGAACCTTCTAAACGGTCAAGGAATTGGTTAAAAGTAATATATACATATATAGATATAGATGTATATAATATTTATTTAGATTTTTAATAATTATTATTGTTATTGTTATTATTGTATTAGCTTAAAAAAGACTATATTACAGGAACAGGAGATTCTTTGGACCTTGTGGTTATTGGTGCAGATTATGGAAGAGGAAAACGTACCAATTTTTATGGAACTTTTCTTCTTGCATGCTTTGATCCAGATAATGAAGAGTACCAAACAATTTGTAAGCTTGGTACAGGATTTTCTGATGCAGATTTAGAAACTCATTACAAATTCCTTAAGGAACATGAAATTGAAGGAGCTAAAAGTTATTATAATTATGATAAAGCAACTAAACCTGATGTTTGGTTTGAACCTTGTCAAGTCTGGGAAATAAAAGCAGCAGATATTAGTAAATCTCCTATATATAAAGCTGCAATAGGACAAGTAAAGTTATACACTTTTTTTCTTATTATAATATCATCTAAAAATAATTATTAAGATTATATATTTTGATGTTTTAGGCTGATCCATCTAAAGGTGTTTCATTACGTTTTCCACGTTTTGTTAGAATAAGAACTGATAAGAAACCTGAAGAAGCAACTACTAATGATCAAGTAAAATATTTTAATATTCATTATATATAATAAGAAGACATATATATATATGTTAACTATTATTATTATTATTATTTATAAATTAGGTGGCTGATATGTATAATTCCCAATTTAATAATGGTGCTGAATAACAAAACGAAAAATCATTTTTTTTATATTAAATATATTTTAATTATGTGTTGTGTGACACCAAATTAATAATAATAATCAATAATAATTAATAGTTAAATTAAGAATAAAGACGTTTTTCATATCTAATATCAACAGGATATTAAAAAACTAATGATTAGAATTGACTAAAAAAAAAACAAATAAAAAAGGATAATAATAATAATACTCACGTATATAATCCATGTACACCACCTTCGACTTGAGCAGCCATGGTTCTTAATTCAAATCTAACTTTACCAGATTTAACATTCTCTCTTAATTGTGTTAAACTCTTAACACCAATATCCTGCAAACCATGCTGTAGACCCGTTACCAGATAAGGTAAAAATTTCCTAATACTTCCTTTATCAACTACTGAACCTGTTACACCCTGTGCAACTTTAATTACATCTCTTTCAGAATAATATCTTTTTGTTGATGCATTGTCAACTTTATCAATGTCATCACCACCAACAATACTAACACCACCACTACTATTACTTTTACTTGTAGTGATACTACCATTATTATTGCTGTTACTAGCACTATTATTAATAATAGTGCTACTGACAGTGTTAATGTTGATTACACGTTCCATAGCATCCAATGATCCCATACCACGATATTTTTTTAATCTTTGGCCATCATGATAATAATAATCACCAGGTGATTCTGTGGTACCAGCAAGCAATCCACCCATCATTACAGCAGATGCACCCAATGCTAAGGCTTTTGTAATGTGACCCACGTTTTGTATACCTCCATCAGCAATAACTGGGATACCAAATCTATTTGAAAATTCTGCTACATTATAAACAGCTGTACCCTGTGGACGACCTACAGCCATAACTTAATAGTAATAAAAATTTGTTATTATTATTGTCATTGTTATTATTATTGCAATTATCATTATTGTTGTTGTTGCTATAGCTAATAATTGATTATATATTGTGAAATCAAATATTAACAACAACAACAACAACAACACAACAACAATTTTTTTGTACATACTAACTTTCTTGTGTAATACATATACTACCACTTCCCATTCCAACACGTAATGCATCAGCACCAGCTTCAATTAAATTTGCAGCCTGTTCTCTGGTAACAACATTACCAGCAATAATTTCCAATGAATCATTGTAAGTTTGTTTAATATATTTGATCATCTCAACTTGAAAAATGGAATTGCCTTGACTTGAATCCAACACAACAATATCTAGACCAGCCCCAACCAACTTGTGTAATCTTGTTTTATCCTCATGACGTGTCCCAATGGATGCAGCACATATCAATTGTTTGGAGTGAGCAGATTTAGAGGCCAATGGAAAATTAATATTTTTCAATAGATCAGATCTGGCTAGCAAAGAAACTAATTCACCACGAGAATTGACAATTGGTAATTTTCCTTTTTTACTAGATCGAAGTATTTGATTTGCCTCTTCAAGAGTTACTCCTTCATGTGCCACTACAAGATCAGTTGACATCACTTCTCGAAGTAATGTGGTGTGATCTTCATGGAATTGAATATCACGAGCAGTAACAATACCAAGTAATATATTATATAATTTTCCATTAGCTAGATAAATTTTTTTAAAAATATTAATAATCATTTTAAAGATAAAAATCAAAATTTTTTAATAAAAAATAAATACAAAAAAAAAAAAATAATAATCATATTTACTAGTAATTGGAATGCCACTGTAACCGAATTGAGCTTTAATCCTATGTACATCAGCCACTGTATGATTTGGAGTTAAACATACTGGATCTGTTATGAAGCCATTTTCAAATTTTTTCACTTTTCTAACCATTTCAGCTTGTTCATCAGACGAACAATTATGATGGATCACGCCAACCCCACCTAATAACTAATCAATTAAAAAAAAAGTCATTTATACAAAAATTGAGAGTAAAAAACAAATATCTGTTAAATTTTAATAAACTAAAAATTAAAACTGACAGCCATATTTATAGCCATATTAGTCTCAGTGACTGTATCCATCGGTGAACTCATAAAAGGAGTCTTTAAGGTGATGTTTCTTGTAATCTTTGTTTCTAAAGTTACTTCAGAAGACAAGAAATCAATGTATCCTGGTAGAATAAGAAAATCATTATAAGTTAAGCCTCCATGTTTATGTGAATCTATAAGATTTTTGGCTGATAAGCCGTCAGAATTTTTATATTCTGATAAATAATTTAAAGCTTTTTTTGGATCAAGATATTTTTCCATTTTTAATTTCTTGTATATTAAATTTTAAAATTTTTTATTTAAATTGTAAAGATGATTGGCAATCAATTTTTTTTTATATACAGACAAACCTCGTTATAGCGAACGTAACCTAATTGAATACGTGTTATAACGAATTTTAATATTATATACAGTGCGGGTCATCTATACTCAAAATTTGAAATATTATGTGATCCACATGTAAGATTTTAAAAACCACCACCATTCAGTTCAGCTTTAAAAAGGGTGTCAATTCATGTAAAAAATCCGTCTCAAGTTTTTTTCTAAAGTTGAGAGTTATGCTCAGAAATGCAATAAATAATTTTCGTGTTACGACATTTTGAATTACATGACCAAATTCGATAATGATTTCCTTTTGTTGTAAATATATAATAAGAACTTTTATCATTAATAAAAAAAGGAAATAATAAATCAATCAATATATTTTGTAAAGAAAGAGTATTCTAATGAAAAAATTATTTTAGTTACACAAAGTTTGCTTTGTATAACAAAATTTGGAATTTTCAAAATGTTAAGGTTCTGCCAATTCAGAAAACCTAGCCGATAGGTTTTGAAGCTTGAGTCACGAACAATAAAATTTATCGATTAACTTTTTAAAATGTTATGAAACTTTTTTGATTTAGTATTTTGAAGCTACCAGTTGTTACTATAAGCAATTAATTGATTATTATCATAATAAAACCGTTATTATTATAACGTGACTATATTAGTACTAGTACTAGTAGATTCGTTATAACGGATTTTAAATGTCTGAAACCCGTTACAACGAGGGTCGTTATTACGAGATTTAATTATCACGTATTTATATTAAAAAATTTTTAAATAAAAAAATATAAGATGCATTATTGAAATTCGAGATGTGCGATTTTTTTTTTAAAGAAACTTTACAATCAATATTAATATTACATTGAAAATTTTATTATTGCGAGGCAAACAAAATATTGATCTATAAGTTTCAATTTATCAAAAAAAAAAAAAAGTCTATCAACTTGCAACTTTTTAAAATATTTAAAGAACGCTTTATTAAAAATCACGCTTGATAGAAATTATTCTAGAAAAGGAGTACAAAAAATTCCTTCGAATGTTCTTGAATTCATGGATGCAATAAGTATTCTTAGTGGATACATTAAAAATAAAATTTACCCATTTATTATTTTAATTTAATAATAATTATGTTATCTATTAGGCGTTAGAAATGGGCAATGAGCATAGCATTTGTAGATTAAAAGTTCAATTAAATGAAACTTCTGAAAAATTTACTCCAGCTATTCGTGGGTCAGTTACATTAACAAAGTTTTACCAACGCCAAAAGGTTTACTTTTTTAGTATCGCGTCCAAAAATTCTAGCCGACTACTAGTTGGTCAAAAATTTCTTTAGTCAACTAAATTTTTTTTTTATAATAATAACTTTTTTTTTAATTTGCAAATTACGAATTCATTTCCATTTGAATCTTTCACTTTTTCAAAATACTTACACACAAACCATGTGTTACGATTCGTTTTTTTAAAGGTCTTCTGGAACCACCGCTTAAATCATTGGAACTCGAAGCCAATGAACCATTAGACCTTGTATTGGAAGTGTTTATTCATTCGCATGTAAAATTATCATCAACAACACCACCACTATTGTCGTCATCATCATATTGATGGTATTGATACTCTTCCGCATAGAAATTTTTCATTTTGAATGATAAAACACAAAAATCATAATTGGTCAGACAATAATAATATTAGTATATAGTATTAGTAGTCGACTATTTAGTTGATTTCAACCTCTAACAGAAGTAATGAAAAATACAACACGACACGATAAACATATTAATATTAATGTTAAATATTTTCTAAAATTAATTAACCAACTATACATGAAGTTGAAACTATTTTAACCATTTGTAGATCTGGTCGAAATAGGTCGAAATAAGGTCAAACCTGTTTTTTATGTAGTTTCCTCAAGTCGAAACATTTAGACTTCATGTATATAACCAACACTAGATTAGATCTATAAATCTTGGAAAGCAAGTTTTGTAAAATATACTTGATGAATGCTTTATCTAGCTGTATGGTAGACAGTAAAAATATAAAAACAACTGGTTTTCCTAATAAATTATTTGATAAAAAATTTATACAGGTTCTTGGCTGGCTAAACCGGTTAAAAAAAAAAAAAATCTCTTTACATTCATTTTTACGTTGGGAATTTTAGTGCAGAATTCAATGACATGAAAATGTCCTCATCTGCATTACTTAGAATGACAAAAAAACATAAAAAAAAAATACAATACTCATTGCAGGATGTAGTTAGAGTTTCTATTTGAAATACAAATTCTTATTTAAATTAATTGTAATATAACTTAATCTTCAAATTATTATTATTATTTGTTTTATTCCCGTATTGGTTTCAGTGGGAAAATCACTGGAACTGAAACACTGGAACACTGGAACCATAATATTACACAATTAAAATTTTCTAATACTGTTCCATCTATTGGTAAACACTTAATTAATTGTGAAAACTTTGCAAACTATTAATCCAGATAAATTGGAATCAGTAAATTCATATTTAGAAGTGAGACAAAAAAGAATTGAAACAAGATTAAATAATAGAATAGAAATTAAAGTTGATGCTGATGTTGATTGTATGTATTTATATTATCATTGATTAATTGCAATAATTAATAATATTTTATTTTGTTTGTTTATGATCTTACAACAGAATTGGACAATAATTATGATAATTCATCTATTACATCTCCTCCATCTGAAAGTTCTAATTCATTGATATTTCACATGTAAATCCAAATAAATGATAATATATATAATGAATCAAGTTCTTCATCAGGTCATCATCAAACAATGCAATTGAAAGTTATTGGTTTGAAGCACTGTATAATGAGACTTTTAATGATACTAGCGATGAAAGTGATTTGGATGATGATCCAGAAAAATTAAAAATTCTATTAAAACTAGTGTGCATCCAGCTGATAATAAAGAGGCCAAATGGATCATTTAAACTTGGATCAAAACCCATATGAGTTCATATTATTAATTTTCAAAAAATACAATATTAGAAATTTATAAAAATAAATAAAATTGAAATCAATTTAGTTTTCATTAACAAATAAAAATAAAATCTATTGGTTCCATTGGTTCCAGTGATCCATTGCTGTTTCCAATGGTTCCAGTTTTTCCAGCCTTTCCAGTGTTCTGTTTGTGTTCCAGAAAAAAAGTCACTGGAACACCGGAACTGGAATTGGAATTGGAACTGGAAATTTTGTTCCAGTGTTCTAGTTCCAGCAATTTTCCCAACACTGGTTGAAACATAGTTTTTGTTGTCTTCCAAACCAAGTATTATTTTTATGTCTTGTATCACCCGATTCTCTGATTCTTCTCTCTGATACATTACGAATTTGCCAAGGATAGGGGATAAACACCATAATTTTCCATTTGATCATCTATTACTTCTAAACAAACGTTTTTGCAGATTTACCTTCCACAATTATTAAATTACAATTCGAATTGCCTTTTCCTGCGTTTACAGCATCTTCCAACCCAATTACATCTACTTAACTTATTGTGATCTAAGATTGTTTATATATTTAAATATAAAGAAATCAGTTTTTAATCAAGTATTAAACATATTGTGTTGACATTTTTTTTAGAAAAACTAGAGTGACAACGAGTGGCGACAACACCACCATCCTTATGATAAACACTTACTCATAAGTATCTTGTATTTCAGCATTTTTTTCTTCTTTTTCGTATTGCGAATGACATTATGAAAAAGAATTGTTATTTGATCGACAAACGCGTACACATTAATTATTTAACACTTATAAAAGATTGCTCAAATCCCGTAAAACTGCTTTTTTCCTTCCTTAGGATAGATTGCATGGTTTTGGTTTTGATCTACTATTTTTTTTTTTTTTGTAATAAATTAAATTTGTTGTTTGCCTATATTTGTAAATAAACAGTGGTACGGGAAATAAGACATTGTAGAAGAGTGCTCATTATACATGAACGATCGAGTGAGCGTTGAGCTGATAAAAAAATCAATTTTTGCTAAACACAATTTTTTGGGAAGCATGAGATGAAAAAAAATGAGACGTTTCTTTGATTTAGTTAAATTTTTTTTTTTTATACTTTGAAATGATTGACGTTATACATATCGTTAATTAATGATTATAATTTTTATTTATTTTATTAATTTATATATTATTTATTACTAATTACTAATTACTAATTATTTTCACTATTCGTTCATCTGATGTTAAAAAAATTGATTTTTCCTTCCTTACCTTTTTGGTTTTATTTTTTTTATTTTTTTTTTATCTACCACGTCCATCTATCGGAGAGGTTTCTTTTCTTTTGTTTGCTGCGGTTTAACATTTGATCAACTAACTCCAGAAATAATAATAATAAATAAAAATTGTTTGTTTATGTCGCAAACAAAGTAGTCTATCTATATATATACAACAAACAAAAATTACGCTAGTACTAAAAGTTTATGATTATTAAGTAAAATACAGTCGTTGCGTAATAAAAATCACATTTGGTCAATGAATGAATGTGCCATTGCAAAGTTTTTGTTCTGTTCGTGAATTAGTCATTTTTTTCGATTGTGATTTTTGATTGTGATCCTTCTTCCCTTTAAGTGAGTTAGTTAATTTTTTGATTGATATATAAACTGTTTGTATTTATCGATCGAGCAAAATTCAACAACTCTCTTTCTGATAAAACGATAAATAAAAAATAACACAATAATACTTTGGCTTATCTTTTCTTTATCTTTGACTTTTTTTTCCGAAAAAATGCCATCGATCAATGTGCGTCATTTGATTTTTTTTTCCCCCCCACAAGCTCACTTGAACAGGAGACCGTCTTTTCTTTTCTTAGATAAGCTTCAAGTGTCTAAGTATCAATTATTTTGAAAATGTAAGGAGCAATTTTTTCACCTTGTTCCTTTTTTAAAATACTTCTAATTGTGCTATAATTCTTGGGTTCCATAGTAGATCTGATGTAAATTAGCTTCATATTATCATTTTTATATAGGAGTAATTCTATATGTCACTTGATATTAAGGAAAAAACAAAGATGCAAATGGAGATTTTAATAATCACATTACAAATTTTGATCCCTGGAATTTTTGGTAATATAAATGGTCACTTTGTCTGGTTTTGTTGCTGCATGCCCCATTTGAGATCAGTCCCAAACTGGTTCCAAATTCCTATAATTCTAAAGATTTGACAAAACAAATAATGCTACAGTTGTAAACACTTTCACAATCAACTTTTGATACATCACCTTCACTTGAACCAAAAATCCCCCCAAAAAACAATATAGACAACAATTAAATAAGAAAGGTACAAATCCTCCATTAAGTGCACTTTGTCATTGGATGAAGGTCCTGAACCCAATTATGAGAAAATCATCACAGAATACAAAATGTTTCATTATGATAAATCATTTATTTATGATTATAGAGGTATTTTATCTGAGCTTGATATTGCTATGAAACTTGGGATGAATAGAAGAGTAATGCTATCATTATTCAAATTGGATTATCAGAAAGTAATCATGTTAAGAGCCATGAAAAAAATATTCATCCTGTATGGTGGGGGAACTTCATTGGTAGGATTTACACTTTTTTTTTTAAAAATCTGTTTTTTTTCACAAAATTAAATTCATAATAGTAAAAACTCTCCAATTTAGGACTTTCAATTGGCACCAATAAATTTTTTGTTATTTGTATAAATGTTATTGGCAGATGTTATGGTTTAACTGGACCATCATCAAATTGATCCATCAGATAGAAATCAATATGCAACCAGATTTCCCATTTGATATGGTCCATGCACAATTTTTATTATTGGAATTGATAAATTGTATGCCAGTGTTGGTAATAGATAGGTGGGATGCAAGTAGGTTATAGTTATACTGTATATATTTATGTGTTGTTTTTTATTTATTTATTTGTAGGGCGTAGGATTTTGTTTACAATATGATCCAAATTCATTATTGTACATTTCAAAAGCAATGGATCTTTTTGATATGTCAGCTTCTACATTAGACATTTTGTCTAGACAATGGGAAAAAATTTTTTGAAGAAATATCAAACCATGGTGATATTTCTTCTATCGATCATAATAATAATTCAATATGTCATGTTAGTAGTGATGGTGATGACAATAGTAATATATCACAACAATCAGCATTAAAACAATACCTCGCATCTTCTTCATCTTCAGCATCTAAACAACAGTGTATTTCATCACTATCTACATCAAAAGGCAATTTTGAAATTGAAGATTTAGTTCAAGGATTATCAAACGTTAAAGTACACCATCATTGATACTTGATATTTTATTTCCATATTGGCCAAATATTTGGGAATGATAATGTGACATATTATGGACTGAATTCCATGTATGGACATCACTCATTTTTAATTGATTTAACAAATGTTGGTGGTGCTATCAAAGGACATTTGGAATTTGATAATTAGTCAATATAAGTAAATTTATTTATTTTCGCACATGATAAAATAATAACAATATTTATTTATTGATTGATAAATGATTTGTATGTTAAAATATATATAAATATATAATTTTTATCACTTTAATATTTTTTCACCATAGAGATCTAACAATGTTTGGTCTTGAATTATCCTAACATAATATAATAAAAATCAAAGTGTTAAATAATTAAAATTTAATATATCCATCTATATAAAAAATCAATTCCTACCGATTTTGCAGGTGAAAGTGTAGCTTTAGTTGGAGTTGCTAAATGATTTTTCTTAATTAAAGTAACTAATGATAATGATAATAATAATTAATAATTACAACCTTTTTAGTAATAATAATGATAATTATCATAAGTATTTACCATCATATGGTAAAGTAACAATAATTGAACGATCCTGTCCATATCTAAAATTATCAGCAACTACATTATCAGTGTAACGTTTAATTTGATAATCATCCAATTTCCCTTGTTTAACTCGACGGAAATTCCATGTAATAACAAATGGTCCAGTACTTATATTGTTAAAAAAAAGTATTATTAATTTAGAAAAAAAATATATATAGATATATGTACATACCTCGTAACAATAGCTTTTTCTAAATCAGATTCACCTGTGTTAAATCTAGCAGGAGTGAAATCCACCTTTAAAAATGATTATTGAATTTTTTCTATTAGTATTGTTGTCAATCAGCGTCATTATAATAATAACAAATAGTAAACAAATAAATTACTTCATGTTCCATGAGAGAAACATGTTCAGGACGTAATTGTAATATTCTTGGTGTTGGCTTGTATATATAAAATTAAACAATATGTTAAATATTAAATATTAATCAGGTCCCTCCAAACAATAAATTAAAAAAAAAAACACTACCTTTTTATCTTTTGGGAAACTTTTTTCAAATCCTAATCTATGATTAGGATCTGATGGCAATTCAGTGTCTATTAACAAAAGATATCTGCTAGTGGTAGCAATAACCCATTTACCATCAGAACTAACATCAATTCCTTTAATAGCACTACCCAAAGCTGGTAAATTGGTTTTTGCATTTTTACCCAATGTATCAAACAATTTCACATCACCCTTACTACTCCCAACAGCAATATGCCCTTTAGAATCAGTAGTACCACAACTGAAAGCATTTTTTGTAGTGTATAACTTCAGTTGTGAATCAACTAATTTTTCATTAGGTAAACGTGGATCAACACGAAACAAAGAGTTGTGTGACATGCCAATAAAAGTTTTCTCGCCAGTCATCTGAGCATATTTTTTGTCTGGAAAAATGTTTTCACAAGGGACATCTTCATGCACTTTCCATTCCTCGACCACCTTTCCATACTCGAGATCCATTTTGTAAAGATTATGTTCATCATTTGGATCCATGAGGATCATTGAAGAATCTTCTTCATGTAACATAGCCTATATACATATTTATATGTGTAAATAATATTGTGGCGAAATTATTGTTATATTATGCGGGAAGAAAGAAGAAAATACAAACTTTTGATGGATTAAATTGTAGCCCACTTGGTTTTTTAATTTTTGCAATATTGGTTGAAAATTCCAAATTATCATCATCAGTATGTTTATACACTCCAATATTGTTGCCTTTTAAAACAAATGATCTATCATGTTTATATCCAACAGCAAGTTGAGTATTTGGTGATTCGCCATTGCCTGTTGTATTAATATTATCATCATAATCATCATTCTTCTCGCCATCATCTGATTCATTTGACTCTTTTTTTTAAAGGGAAATTAATTATAATCAAAAATATTTAACATAATATATCAATATATTTAGTACAATGCTTGCCATTGCCCGATTCTTCATTTATTGATTCAGAATCAACCATTTCAGTGTCTTCTTGATAAGCACTCATTATATAATCTTGATCATCTTCCTAAAATAATCATATAAATATATGTGTGCATTTAATAAAAATCTTTATAGTTATTAATATATACACATTATTAAATATTATTGTTAACCTTGACTCTTGTTTCATTTAATGTTTCATACATGGCAGTAGAAAGCTTTTTCTTGAAACGGGCTTCACTTTCTTGTTCATTAAATTTCATCAATAATGAATAAACATGACCTTCCTCTATTATTCATAAATTAAACCAAATTAGAAAATATATGTAACAAAATAATTTATTTACAATTACATATAATATTTACTATCATAATAACACCATATGAGACATTGGTGGGTCTAAAAATAAGTGATAAATTATATAAACATTAATGATATTTATAAATAGATGTAAAAATAATATCTACACATACATATGTGCATATATATATAAATAAACATTATTACTTGATTAAAAACTATATTCATTCTTGGTTCAAGTTTTTGCACAATTAACCTTTGAACATCATCAACTATTATCAAAAAATCTAAAAATTAGATAATTTGATTTCTGTTAAGGTAAATAATATAATTAATAATTGTACACATATGCATACTGTATAAACAAATAGTAAAGGATACATTCAAATCTTTCTCCTCTAAGTATTGTAGCTGTAATTCCAGGTTTACCCAATATGAAAACACCAGCTCCAGGATCATAATAATGTAATTCGCCATTAGCAGTACTATAAATTTCTACTTCTGGTGGTGCTCCTGGAAAATCAAATATAAGAGATTGTTTTGCTGATGACAATGACACTGGTGAAGTGTTATTATTATTGGTCTTTTTATTATTAGCTGCTGCTGTTTTTGCAGTAGCAGTTGAAGAAGATGGTGTTGATGATGTTGATTGAGCATTAGAAGTTGATTTTGATACATTAGTTGGAGTTTTTTGAGTATTTTCATCAGTTGGTCTATAAAATCAATCAAGAAACTTTAGATAATGTATATATAATTTTCAAAATTTTACAAGGAATTTTGCTCCTACTTGTAAACAAAACTTTGAAGTTCTTCTTCAGTTGCATTCTCATTAGATTTCTTGTATTTTCTCTCATACATGCACTGATAAATGGTTATTTCAAAAGCGTTGACTGTATGTGCAGTTGTGCTAACATCACACACAAATTCAAACACATCATCGGGATCCTATAAAATGATCATGTTATTATGTTAAATAATGGTGACTGTAATGGTGATTATTATCATGATAATATATGAATCATACCCCTGATAAATCTCTCCAAGAAAATGTGGATAAACCATCTATATGTCCTTTACGAAAATTTAATGTTCCATCGATTAAAAATGGCTTTTCATCATCTTAAATAAGTCAGGTAGGGTAGATGGATGTTGAGTTAATAATAAAACATGCACATGGTTCATTTCTAATATTGTTTGTTTACCTTCAATGTCCAAGGAATCATTGATTAATTCATCTTCACCTTCTTGATAAACTCTTGTAACAACCAATTGATATTGCCATTCGACAGCTGTACGACGTACTACAGCTTGTGCATCATGGAAACTATAATTTATGAAAATTTATCAACATTGCTTGTTATTTTTAAAAAAAAAATAAAGAAAAAGGTAACACCTATCACCATAATAATAATATTTTATCGTTAATTATACGATTACATACATGCATTCTCTCGTTCCCTTCAAACTATTTGGTCTAACAAGATATAATTGTCCCGCTGATATCTTAATAAGTTCAGGGATGTCAGGATTCCCTTTAATATATATATATATATAATGTAAATGTAAGTATAATATAAAGGTACAAGTATATATGCATATATATAAATCTTATAATTACCCCAGATCAATTTCCCAAGAGATTTTATCACAAACATATTTATTTATTTATCTTTTTGTTTTTTTGTTTTTATCTTTTGCTAAATTTTGATTTTTTGTTATTCTTTTGTGTTTGTATTAGTTGTATTAGTATTAGTACTAGTGTTATTATTATTTAATATTAGTACTAATATAAATTGATATACTATTCAAAGTAAATATAGTTAGTCGATTAACTCTTTTTAGTAATATATAGTGTGTTAAAAATCGATGACAAACAATTTTAATATATTAATGTACGTAAATATGTAAACTCATTATTATTATTATTATTATTATTATTTTTCTTTTAACATTTCAATTCGACTTTGGGTTTGACATAACTCAATTGTTTGAATCTTTTAAATTATTATCTTGCTTTCTCCTTTTTATCTTCACTCTAGTATTGCTTGAAAATTATTCGAAAATGAAAAATTCATAATAATTATAAATTTAAGAGACTGATGATTATGCAGTCGAAAATCCTATCACAGCCAAAGTAACCTTGACGGGTGATATGAATGGAAAGTTCTATATTTATGATAATCTGTTTGATAGTGACGCTCAACTAAAAGGTTACTATGATGAGGATTGGATCCCAAGGCAAGAATTGAAACATGACAAACTGTTTTAGATTTTAGATTATAGTTGTGATAATATAACAGTTGATCTATTGTGGAGTAGTGAATTCACTTGTTACCTACCAAATGAATTTAAAAGTAAATATTTAATTCAATGCAAGGTATTTCAAGACTACCGCATCTAGTTGGTAGATTGGTAAAAATGCACCTCACACTATTGTTGTATTCGAGAAAGTTTCTCGTAAAATAAATTCAGAAGAATGGAATGGCGGCAATTATTATATATATTTTATATATTTTATTAATATTTATTGTTATTTAATGTGGAAATTCATTTCCAATTGAATATTATAAGAATGATGTTAATGAAAAAGATATCAATGGAAAATTGATAATAACAAATTTTCAATTTTCAATGGATATTTTTATAATGAGTATGAGGAATTCAATGACTGTGAAGCCTTTGAAAATAAAGATCTTAAATTCAAGAGAATATTATTAATACTTCCAGTGCTGACAGTAGCGATAGTACTGTTAGTACTAATATTGGTATCATTAGTGATATTATTACTGTACTACTACAGAAAATATTGAGATTATCAAAATTAACAATAATAATGGCGAGAATGATATAAATAATTCAGATATTCTCAACGCTGATATTAATTCAGATATTATTATTAACAATGTTATCGAGAACATAATATAGATATTGATAATAACACTAATAATAGTAACATTGAGATTTAACGAAAGAATACAACTCAATCAAATCAGAGCAACATACTTTGTAACAATTTAGAAAAGATTGGTAATATTTAGAAAGAATTGGCAACAATACTATCTCTCTCTGGAAATTTTCGAAAGAAAAGGAAAATTTTCGTTTCACAAATTGATTGCGTTGTATAAATCTTTTGATCATTGATCATGATTATGATTATGATCATGATCACTCTCCCAATTTTTTTTTAAAACATTCAGAGGTTGTAAAAAACAAATGAAAAAGAAATCGCTTGATTAAAATCAAGCCTTTTCCAAAATGTGTTGTTAAAGAAATTAATTAAGCTTTTTTTGAAAAAACTCCTCTCCTACTACTAAAAATACCAGCAAGAAATTAATCCATTATTGATTTAGTATTAGCATCGCCACTAGAAAAACAATTTGGAATTCATTCATTTATTATTTAAAAAAAATATTTAATTTAACAAGAAACAAACATTTGCTGTGTCATGACCACCCTGGTGGCAGAGTATCTTTCTTTTTTTGTTTAAATAAAATTAAATGAATATTAACGTGTTACGAATTAATTAATGATAATTAAATATACGGGACGTAAACGATAAAAAATTATTATTATACAAATAAACAATTAGAAAAATAAATAAAAATAGAGATTAAATTGTCCTGGAATTAAGAGATTTGGCCAAAAGATCTTTGTCAAAGTTTAATTCCAGTAACAATATTTTTATCCCAACAGGGATAAACAAATAATCAATTCAATTGTCATTTAATTAAATGCACATTTTAATTTTAGTAATAAACAAATAATCAATCCAATTGTCAAGTAAATGAATAATAAATT